GGTCATAATTGTACTTTCTTGAGGGGTTGTTCTGGTCATTAATTCTGACAGATGATATGCTGTGGCCCAGAAAGCATTTAGGACTAAGTCTCAATAAATAATAACTGTTACCCATAGAGGCAAGTCCCAGATTTAATATTTTATTTGCAAACTTCTTGTATATAGTCCAGGCCCAGGAGATGAAGTCCTTTGTTACCCAGTTTTTGAATACCTGCATAGTGATCACCTACATGCATGGTCTCTTTCCTTGAAATATTAAGGTCAACAAAGTATAAACAAAGAAATTACCAGTGCTACTAGGGCCCTCAGCTACCTGGGTTTTTCAAGACCTCCCATAGCATTCATTGGGCACTTAATCATAGCTCAAGCCAGGATGTCTGATGATTGCACTGTCGCTGCTAAGTTGTTGTTACATCCATGTAGGTAGTACCCTGCCCTTATTCCTACTCCTCTGCCTTCCTCAGGCCAGCTGGGGCATAGTAGTTAGGGAATGAACCTCATTAAGTGCCTAATTCTGCACCGCCCCTTGCCATAATGGAGCGCGAGTGAATGAAACTATTACCTTTCACCCTCCCAAAAGAGTGTATTTCAGAAAAAATATAATAGAGACTGTACAATTTAAGCTGTGTGCTCTGTGGTGTAAGGATTTGTTAATAGAAAAATATTAATTTACACACACCTGCTAAAGTGAAAGACATAAATAAGCTAAATTCTGTTACCTCTCACATCCCCCTCAAGCTCTCCTTTGGAAAGATTGATTTCCAGATTCAAAAGGCTTTTTCAAAATGTCTCTGTTCCTCCCATCACAGCCTGCAGTGTACATTAGAATAAAGAACCGAGCCCGGGATGAGTATCTGACAGTCACCGGAACTGTAGCTAACACCAGGGCAACATCTGTGTGCCTTTCTCCCTACAGTGGGAAAAATACTCAGATCTGGCACTACCGTCGAGGACTCTTTAAATCCAAGGTAACCAACCCCACTGATAGGATACCCCACTTTTCGGTCTTTGGTCTTTTTCGTTTGGAAACCAGAATCTTGCCAAATCAAATGGCATGATAAAATAATGCAATTTCCTATCAACAGTTTTTTGCATAATTATAAGAACATTGACATATATATTACTGAAGCATCTAGGTGAAATGGACTTAGAAACTAGATTTTCTACATCAAAAAATTCTCTATTTTAAAGTAAAAAGTAAGACTAACACATACTATGGATATTCCTAAATGTTTTTTTTTAAACCAATGATAAGTCACTGTACCCAAATGGACAATGTGCTTTTGTGAGACGTCCCTTACACTCTGTGGCCCAGATTAATTTAGCTGTCTTTGTGATTCCAAACATGTTGAAGCCTCCTCATCTTCAAAATATACAATGAAGGTAGAAGAAAGCTGCTGTTTTTTGGAGGAAGCTTAGAAAATAAAATTTAGTTTTCTTTGTTTCTCTGCAACCCTTCCATTATGTTTGATGCTGTGGGGAATAAGACACCAGTTTTATTATATCACCAGTGGATTACTGACCATATTCTCATGCTTCAACAAAAATGAAGAGCACTTAAAAGTAATTATTGTCTGGGTATCTTGCACATCACCCAATGTTTTTTGTTTGTTTTTGTTTTGCGGTGTGTGGGCCTCTCACTGTTGTGGCCTTTCCCGTTGCGGAGCACAGGCTCCAGACGCGCAGGCTCAGCGGCCACGGCTCATGGGCCCAGCCGCTCCGCGGCATGTGGGATCCTCCCGGACCGGGGCACGAACCCGTGTCCCCTGCATCGGCAGGCGGACTCCCAACCACCGCGCCACCAGGGAAGCCCACCCCATGTTTTCGTAAGAAAAACAGGCTCGACCTTACACATTTAAGCTAACAGGGATTCAACATTTAATTGTAATTCAACAAACCTTTGACCATCTGTTGTCAGATCCAGACCATCCTTTTTTGTTTTTTTTGTTTTTTTTTTTTTTGCGGTACGCGGGCCTCTCACTGCCGTGGCCTCTCCCGCTGCGGAGCACAGGCTCCGGACGCGCAGGCCCAGCGGCCACAGCCCAGGACGCCCAACCACCGCGCCACCAGGGAAGCCCCAGACCATCCTTTTAAAAACAAGTACCTCTAGTTCAGTACGTTTATTTCCATACCATCTCCTTCCTTCAGCCATAAAGAAGGCTTAAAAAGTTGACTGAATTTATAATTATGCTAGTTTTCTTTTGAGATTAGACAGTTATGTCTCTGTTCACATGAAAGAAAAGGGGCCCAATCCAGTTGATTTTAGTAAACACAGTACTGCCAATTTATTTCTTGACCCTTTTAGGCCAGTGACACGTGTCTCGATGTGATTGGTGGTCGAGACATACCTGGAGCTAAAGTTGCCCTATGGACTGAACATGGGCAGTTCAGGCAGAAGTGGAGACTGAACAAAAATGGGACCATCAGCTCCTACCTCAGTGACCAACTTGTCCTTGATGTTAAAGGTAGGCCTGTGATGAAACCCAGTGTTCTGTGTCCTTGGATATTCATTTTAAATTCCAAGCCGCCTCCTCCTTATGGGTAAAAGAAGTCCTTATGCATAAGGGAAATATTAAATCATTTTAAATTATGCTTGAAAAAGTCGAGATATGCCATTTTAACAAAACAATTAGCTATATATGGATCAAGAAAAAGCCTAAGGACCAAGCCTACAAAGGTTTTTGTTTATCAGTGCAGCTGTAAAATTTTCATTTTCTACATGATCTTTGAGAACATTTCTAAATTTGAAGCATCCTCAACCATAAAATGTCATCCATTTCCTAAAGAAATACCTCTCACTTTCTGTTGTGCATTGCCGTGGTCCTTAAAATGTATGGTCCTTTAAATTTACCATTTAAACTTGTTTTTGCGTTCAGCCAAGGTCAGGGCCAATATTATTCAGTGCCGTCGCTTTAATTGAGTTAGTCATAGCCACTCTTGGTGTAGAAACTAAAACCCAGTACCTGACGCTGAGCTAGAGCACCGTGTTCTTAAGAATCCCACTGTCAGGGCACACCGCTTATGCAAACATCTATTATACCGCTTAGCTTTTCAATCAGTCATAATGTCTGATTTCAGGTGAAGAATAGCTATGCCCGTTTAACCTCAGTTTCCCATTTCAGACCGCTTTACAAATGACATATTAATCTACCCCAACAGTGAGTGGGCTGAGCAAAAGCCTGTGAAAACTGTGAAATTGCTAAGCACCTGTGTGAACAAATAATCTTTCCTTTTGGGATTTCTGTTTTAGGAGGAAATTATTATGACAAAACTCATGTGATTGTAAATGAGCCCCTGGAGGGAGAAGAAACACAGAAATGGGACATTGAAATACTGTGAGAGAATCTGCAGCATCCCTGAGAGACAGCAAAGGAGGAAGGACCCTCATGCCCCGTGAAAAGGAAGCTACCTGTCCTCATGCTTCTGGGGTCACTGAGCAGAAAGAACTTCCCCGACCTTGAAGACTATTGTTGTTAACCATGGAAAAGCTCAAAATATTCTTGCCAGTCATTCAGTGTTCCTGTGAAGAATGCGTTAACGATTTCTGGGAAAGGTCCTACTCCTGCTTGATCTCCAGCTTCGGTGAGCAAGTTTCTTGAAGTCTGTTCTCTCTCCTTTCCACCAAACACGAATCCTGTCCCTGATAGCCATTTTAGGACACTGGTGATGCTGTCATCCTGTGTTAGTTATTAATCTCCTCGTCGATGTGTGTGTGAACGCAAGGCACAGAGAAGCAGAGTCCTATAGGTCAAGTCGTACTTTTTTTAAAAAGATGAATAATTTTTTAGCAATATCTGAAAACATATTTAATAAACCTTACTATTAAGCTGCTGTATTAGATAAACATTAAAGATTCCCTATTGAAGCTTTTATAACTGAAGCACCGTAAGTATTCACACTTGTAACTGACCCCAGGGAGGGGACCTCAGCTTTGTAAGGAAAAGGCTCAAGTACAGGAGTGTTTTCTGTGGCTCTTCTTTGCTCGGTCCTTCAAACTAAAAAAGCACAAATAGCCTGCGGCTGTCCTTGCACTCTTAAGTATTAACAGAGACACCCTTCTGGGTGACAAGACTCTAAGTAACCAGGGCTTACCTATCCTGGTTCTGAGACCTCACCTGATCTACCCTCAAGAAGTGTTTATAAAGACTCTGTCACCTACGTGTAAGAATAGTCAAATTTTTCTTTGCCTGAAGTAAGGGGAAATTTCAGATGTTCAAATTAAGACCAAGTAGTATTTGATCCTTGACTATACCACTTTACTTTACAAAATGTGACAGAAAAGTCAGTTTTTCACTCCCATTTTAAATAGCTTTCATTCTAGCATAATCAGGTAGGATAATGTCTTTGACTTAGTTTCAAGTAATCATTACCACCATCACTATACAATTCTCAAGCATTTTTCCCTCCTGAGTTGGTTTTAAACTTACATTGAGACAACTGTTCCCTTCATCCCCAACTTTTGCCAGAAAGCAGAAAAAGGTCTGCTCTATTTTTATATACAGAAAGATTAAATTCTCCAGTGATATTTTAAAAAATATCAACCTGTATGCACTTTAGAATGTAAAGTAACAGTGATCTGTTTGTTTGTTTAAACTCAAAGACCCCACTATTTTGAGTATTTTTTACAGAGACTTGGTCTTTCCATGTAAATATTATTGTTTGTTTTTTTTTCTTCCCTTCAATCTCAGGCTCTTCTTTTGTCATCTTTCAAGCCACATCTGTAAAACTATTTTATGCCCACAGATGTGAGTGCCTGTTAGTGTGGCAGTATTATTTAATGAAACTGATGTTATAGGGTAACTTTATTTTAATGGGAGGCCTTGTGTATACACAAAGGTAGGTATGTGTATTTTCACTGTAAAAAACCAAGTTAAAAAATGCTTCATGTTAATTGTTTAAAATTTTTCTAGAGCCAGTGAGGCTCTTTAAAGAAGTTGTTTCTTCCAAAGAACAAAGACAAAGCCAGGTAACGACATGTAAATTTAAATGATACATTTATTGAGCTGTGCCTTCTCTACCACACACTGGATTAAATAAACTTGTCAAGAAGTACGGTTTTTGTCACCTTCTGGGACATTTAGTAATTTGCTGTTCTATGTACCTCTGTTTGTTAGCACATATGGCCAACTGGTCACCTCTAACAGGTAGGTCTCATGTTGTTATTAGATACACAGGTAAGGAAAGTTACAGTCATTATGTCCTTGGCTCAAAGCAACAGGGGCTCCCTAGCACGTACATCTTTGCAGAATCAAGTGTCTACTATTTTATATATACATATTAAAAAAGAAGCAAAGGCACTAGACTACTTGGATTAAACATTCTGTCCAGAGGGATAATACCAGGCTTTGCTTTTCCTCATCTGTAGTAAGTTTCAGGTCCTTGACAGAAATAGCTGAACTGTCCCAAATTTGCTTCAGTGCATCGATATGTGATAAAGGAAAGCGAAGTCCATGAGACTGAAAAAAGATAAACTATTTAGTCACTGAGGGGCATTTTCCATAATTTCTCAATACATCATTATTGATATCCTTCACAAGTATGAAACTTGTTTCAGATAAGCTACTTAACAAAAACTATCATCAGATAACTAGATATAACTTTCATAACTTATGAAAGTTGCTAATTCCCATATGAAAACTCAGACTTCATGAAAGGTACTCTACGTTTTATAGAGTAAGAAATATTAATCCTTTGAAATGCTTCACATTTGTTACACCCTTCCTACAAGGCCACAGGGTCCTAGTATCTTTTAAAGCGGGTATATATATCACAGAAATGTCTGACTTAATCATCCCTGTGCAAGGGCTGTCAATTTGTGAAATGTGAAGTCCACACTGCAGTCATAAAAAAGGTCATTACCCATAAATCAAAGGTAACAGATTCTTCCCAGCCACCACCAAATCACAGGAAAGACATGCACTTTAGGCTGGAACAAACCTCTGTTTCCTCATTTCCCATCATGTGTGTCTCTCTCCTATTCTTTAAGGAATGATAGATGTAAACCATCTTTTCTCGAGTTTCATCCTTAAAAGAAAAACAGCAAGTCGTCAACACCAAAATATTGAGCACTTCAATACTAGGAGGGTTTTCCAATAACAAAGGTCAACACCAAGAAAAATCTTAATGCCTCAGTGCTTAAGTGAAATTTATTGAACACTAAAGAATCCTTCTGGCAAAAAATTATGATACAGATAAATATATACGCACGCAATGTAGAATGAACGTATTTCATTATAGTGCTCACAGATTACTATTTGTAGCAGCAAATAACCACTCAAGTCATTTTTTAAAAAGATAACAGCATCTTCAGAAACTTGACCTAATGAAAAAGCAACCATTTATATATCAACTTACTTACCAATGAAACATTCAAGTTTTTCGTTTCATCATACCTGCACTATCTTTTTGCATCAGAAAAATTTGACATTCCTAGGTATACGTAAATGGACACTCTATGAACACCAGAGTAACTATTAATTCCTAAGAAATACCAGCTATGTGATCTATAAAAACTTCTATTCCATGTATAGTAAAGTAGGCTTCCGAATGGTCTCGACTTCTCTTCCCTCTCCACCCGCCTTAACACAGTGCAGTTTATTATCTCTTCCAGAACCTTTAGAAATTCCTTGTCACCTCTCACTCAGATGAGGACCAAAAAGCCTTAGCCTGAAATAGAATGCCTCAAACTGACTGATTGGTTATCAGAATAACTAGGATTTTCTTTTTTTAAATGGGGATGTAGGAGTATATACTTTTGAGGTTTTATATATATGTTATAAACCTGTCTTCTCCAGGTCTGGCCCTGATGGCTGGAAAAATCTGGTTATGGAGACATCTAGGTGCCCCCCGACTCTCATCTCCTCCAGACATTCATTGGACATCTCCCAAGAAAGCTGACTAGGAGGAACAGGGTGAAGCCACAGGGCATGGGAGAGTTCCCAAGGGCTTTAGGGTTGTGTGGGGTGCTTTCAAAATAAATGCAGAGGCTCCACACCAGACGAAGCCCAGGAACTTATAAGTTCTAAAAATCTTCCAGTTAATCAGCCAGTTTGGGGAACCACTGGGCTAGGTGGCAAGGGTATGGAATGTAGATTTTCCTCTCCATCGTCTACAGAATAGAGATTTTTTTGAGAAGAACCATCAACAGAACCATATGTAAAGGCAGGTCTGTGCCGTATACAGAATGGGAGAGGGACTGAGACAGGGAGACGCATGAACAGGGTCTGCGGCCGTCTAAGCAAAGGCAACCTGGCCTGAATTAGGAGACAGAGAACAGACATGTAATTACTAATTAGAGAAAAGAAGGAGGGTTCTGTGGGGCCGAAGACAAGCCCTCAAATGCCCAACAGGCAGGAAACCTTGGAACCATAACAGTGAGATCTGGGCATGATCTAAAGAGATGGCATTAAGCTGTGAGGAGGTGGATGCCCAAAGGAGGAGGGCAGGGCCATTTGTCAGTCTGATAGCCGGGGGCCTGCGATGGAAATGCCCTGAGAAGAACGGAACCCTCTTCTCTGGATACTCACGGATGGGTCCTGATCGGGTCCTACAGTGAGGACGACGTGGTCTCTAAATTGCAGCCTCACAGTGCTGTCCAGCCCTGGTAACTGTCCACCTGGAAAACCCAGAGAGAGGGAAAGCCAGCCTCCAGAGAGGAAAGCAACAGGCTCAAACTTGCCTGCAGGAGCAACTATTTAGGAAGTACACTTAGTAACAACCTGCAGGTGAATCCAAATGTGGGGCGCCCTCTCCAACTCAAGTATTTGCTCTCCCCGACATTTACAGTGATCTGAAAAGGGTAGCTTACATCTTGATGGAGCTCATCCTTATACTGAAGACACACGTACAGACTTCTGTTGTTATTTATCTAATTGTAACTTCATTAAGCAGTTGTCGCCAGTACCCGGGGAGCACATACTATCACAGTACAGACAGGGCTGCCGCGCCTTCTGCACAGAACGCTCTCACGTCTCCAGTTTCTATCCCCTGCTTGCTCCACATGTGGACTCTGAAAGGACTTCCTGAGCTCAAAGTGCACCACCCCTCCAATTACTAGATGAATGACCGTGGCAAATTTTTCAGCCTGTGTAGGTCAAGTGCAGTGTCATAAAAAAGCCACCTAATAAAGTCCACAGAAAAAACTACTCTTTCCTAGATTGGATTTAACTTAGTGAAAAAGCAGCCACTACAATCAGACCAGCCTTACAGGGTCTTCTGGCTGGAGAAAGAGTTGAGGGATCATAACTTTACTGACTGTAAGGACTAAGGCAAGGAAAGCTCTGGATAAAATATCCTGGGCCATAAGCTGATACTCAGAACACTGTTCTGCTAAAGATTAAAATATGTGCTGGGAAAACGTGCTATTTTGAGTAGATGCTATCAAAAACAAATTTTAAACTCCCCCCCGCCCCCGGAGACTATAATAAAAATGTACATAGAATCAGTGTTAGAAGGGACCTTATAGAGTGTGTATCTCAGTGGTTCTCCACTGGTGATAAGGCTTTTATGAAAATTAGTGAAATTGAAACTCTCCCTGTACCTGACTAAGAGAGAAGCAGCCTGAGAGCCAGCCTGGCACTCACGGCCGTGTCTCCGTGTTCTCCAGCTGAACACAGGCCATTACACAGAACCCCGATATTAAGCAAGGCCACGCCGTGACTGAGAGAGATCGAGACAAAACCAAGACCACTTCATCATCAGGTCAGAACTCAGGCCAAAGCAAGGACACTGTCCACACCACAGAAGTGACCAAACGTGCCCTGTCCTGGCTGACCTGAGTGACTGCTGCAGCTGCTGCTTTATCAACTGTCACCTTGGCTTCATTTCACTCCTCCTGCTACTGGCTGAGATTTACAGGAGACCCAATCCGAGAATCCCTCCTTCCCGACAGCATTCAACCCCGAGCAAAGCCCTGCTTCCTTGAACCCTCCTGAAAATCACCTAACTCAAACCCAAAACCTGTAAATCCTTCCCAACATCCTTTTACCGAGGTGCCTACGGCCCCCAGTGGCGTGCTCTCTTCCCTGTTACAAGTCAATAAGCCCAGCTTCGTCTGACTACAGGAGTATGGTGTGGTCTCTGCTCCAGAACACCGATATCACCATCCACCCAGAAGTCTACCAATGTCATCTGTACCTTACACCTGTCACAAAATAGTCACCTGGGACTTGGGAGAAGGTCTGATAATCTTGGGCATTCTGGTAGTGCCCCTGCTGATGGCAACATTTTACCCATCCCTGGGTTAATCTCAACAAGATTATTTCAATGTTCAAGTTCTTAAAACTTCCTGAAGATGATGAATTCCAGAGGGGCTCTAAACACACATACTCCTCACCCCAAATCACAGGGCTCTCATTCCCCATCAGGCTGCATGTCCTGTCCAACCTCACACTAAGGATAGGCCCACATCAATCCTCAAATGCTTCATGCATTCCATCAGCTCAAAGAGGTGCCCACCCAGAAAAGCTCGAAATATCCCACATTAGCCCCTGACCACCCAGAAGAAAAGAGCAAAGCTCTACCTGGTGTTGACAGCTCTGCTCCATCTCCCACGTAGCAAGGCGGGAGTCTGTTCATAGCAAAATCCTTCTTCATGTCTGCCGAAAGCAGTTCGCTGGTGCCCTCCAGCCGGTCCGCAAGCATCCTCAGAAAGCCACTTAATTTTCTTGTTGCAACGGCTGTGGTTTCCACCTGCTAGAAACACAGAAGTGAGTCCAGGCCCAGACTCCAGCGACCTTACTGCCCGGGTCCCAGTCTCTGGAGTAGTCCACTGACCACCATCACCCGGGGCTGACGCAGATCCATGTCACTCCCTAAGAACAGTATCCTTTTATTTCCTCATAACCACTGTTCATCGTAAGCTGCCTACCATTTGCAAAAAAAGATCAATTTTCAGGATTCTGCCTTAAAAGAGGGATCCCTGGGAATATGGTAGTCTCGGCTTTGCCTTTTGAAAAGCAAGTCACTGTCTAAGGTGACTGCTTCAGACCGCGAAAGCACCCTTTGCTCAACTCAGCACTAATGCACTCATCTTCTCAAAACTAGCCAACAGGGCCGCTGTTTCAAAGGTAAAACCAGGACGGACAGGAAAGCCAGGGAGCACACCAAGGCCAGGCTCTCCAGTGGGTCTGTCCTAACTAGTGATCTCACGTGTGCTCAGGCTACAGTTCCCAAGCCAGGTTAGTTACTCATTCAAGCACCGATTCAGCCAGAGCTCCCAGTGCCTGCCACTGCCGCCATGAAGTACAGGAAGCGGGCCATCTGCACAACACTGTTGGTCCTTTGGGTGGCATGCAATGTGCAGCACTCCATTCGTTCTGCAAACCACCGTGCCCGGGAGGAGACAAGCTTGGCTCACACGGGGAGGATTCTGGGGTCCCGAGGAGGGAGCCACAGCTTCAGCTGGCCTGGGCCGTGGTTACCCGTCCTTTCCCACCTGCCTTTACTCCTTACCAGGAGCAGCTGCCGGGGTATGCCAGCCCGTAGCTCTACGTCTGCCTTTGCAGTGTCAAACACGAGCCCTGCAATGGTGTCCAAAAGGAAATCTCCCCAGGAACTGGAACGTGTACCAAGAAAATTAAAAAAAAGAGTGAACACATAAGAAATGTGCATAAAACACTGATTACTAAAAGCCTAAAGCTACAAACTGTCACACCAATTCCCCTGCCCTGACGTCTTGAGTTCCACTAATTTCACGTTACTCAGCATAAAGACTTACGGCCTTCATCAGTCAGTCTTCCCTTCCTTCCCATCCCAGACACTCAGGTGCAAAATTAAAGGTGGGAAGCTAGGCTTCCTTCATGATTTGTCTTAAACGTAAAGATACCAGAGAATTAATTACAGACTGTCATAAATTAGGAAGTTTAAGGGGCCAATTTTTTTTTTTTTTTTTAATGTTTTCAACTACATAACACAGAGCCTTGAGGAGAGCTTTGCAGGAAACTTTAACCCTCAATCATTATAGGACCTAAAAAGATTTTTATGTGTAAAAAATCCAAAAGCAACACATTTAGGGTAACAGCAAGATCCCCGGACTGTGTAATCATCTGAACAGTTAAACACTACATTTTCCTTTGTTCCTTATAAAAATTCCTCAGCAAAATATCCAACATCAACAATTTCAAAACAGTTGATTTTGCAACTTGTTAAACCCTGGCAGTGGTTTTACTGGGGTGGGAGATAGAAGCCAGAGGCCAAAAATACCATCTCGGGACGAGCATCAGTGTTCAATTGCCTCTGCTTTCTCTGGGGCATTTAGAATCGCTCGCTCCTCAATGTGTGCCAGTGTGAGAAGCACACGCTATGGGACTGCTCTCTTTAAACACTTCTGAGCTGTTTAAAATTTTCCTCTGTGTCACCAGCAGATTTCAAATTGCTGGCTGCATGCAAGATGGAAATTCACAGTATGACTTTTGCTTCTCACTCAGTAACAAAATTAACACTTTCATGCTTCCCTCCTGGAAAAGTGGCAAAAGAGGACAAAAGCCACATGAGAGACACTTCCCCCCAAGATGTCCACTCCTCCGTGGTAGCCTCACCACTTGTGACATAATGCTACACCCAACCTCATACCTTTGATTGAACTTCGACCTGGAGGACACAGAGACCTTTCAGCAGCATGAAATAATATCGTCCTTTGAAGGGTCCCAGGTACAAGTCACGCAGCAGTAGCTCACAGAGGAGTTTAAGTGCAGTTAAATTGAGCTCTGCGTTCTTCTAGGAAAACGGATCTTGGGCCTTTCCAAAGTTTGGAAATAACACCTCTGGAGGGGTTCACTTTGGTAAAGCAGCCAAATCGACAGGCCACTGTCGCATACAGCTGGCCCTAAATGTTCCAACAATGCTACCCTTGAGAGGGGTTAGGAAAAGGCCCAAGTCCTCACTCTGCCACAGGCCTTAAGGAGCACCAGGACCAAAGCATAGGGACACCTCCAGGGAGCGATGGTCCTCGAGTTACATCTGTCCCGTTCTAGCACCGGCCCCACTGACAAAGGCCCAGGTCGGCATCCAGCGTAGATGCACGGGTCACGGTGCCTACCCACGGCCCCCAGCAGGCATCCTAACTCAGGCCTCTCTTCCCCAACCCTGCTGCCTGCAGAGGGGGTGGGTGGGACCAGGGAAGGCTACCAGTTCATCCTGGGGACTGGGAAACAGCGAGTCAGGCACTCAGTGGAAGCAAAAGCTAATAGGTTCAACGAGATCGAGGGAGGTCAGAGAAGTAACTGAGGATGCCTTGTGATGAGCCAATGTTGTGAGTAAATAGAAACTGAGGAAGGAAAACAAGGAAGCGAAAACCGACTACTAGGAAACCAAGAGAAATGAAAAAGAGGGAGGATTAGAGAAAGAGGGAGCAGCAGAGTAACCTGAACGGCGGGACGCCAGAAGATGGACATTCATTGGGGCCAAACTATCAATATGTGGCTGCCAAGGCACAGAGCTGCTTTAGTCCAGAACGAACTTCTGGTTCAGCCTCCCTGCAGCCTGCCCTTCCCCAGTTCCTACGACCCACCCCCTCAGTCACCTCTGCTCTTCTGGAGCTGCCCTCAGAGACTGTTTCTCGCTATGCAAGGCACCTAACCAGTCACGGTGACAAGGGCATTTTACATAAAGGAAGCCCCAAACAAGCTTTGGCTTCTACTTGTGGGCAAAGAAAGCCTAACTTCAGGCCAGACTCCAGCTAGCTCCTCCTGTCTCTTAAACACAGGGGGTTCACGTCTCGCTGAAAAGCCGGAGGAGGAGGCAGAAGAATGCTTACTCACTTGTTCTGCAAGATACAGCTTTGAAGTTAGGAGGCGACTGGCTGTCCCTCAGGCCGGGAATATCCTCTCCTACTCTGACCTCCTGACCCACCTCTACTTACTCATCCTGTAAATCTCCCTCAGCTTGGGTGTCAAGTCATTTCCAAAGCCTTCCCTGAGGCCCCGGCTTAGCTAAGTGCGTTCCTCTGTGCTCCCAGAGTCTCCTCTGCAAACCTATCACGGGATGTGACACACTGTTTGGTACCTACATGCCTATCTCCCCTCCTTCCACCACCTCCAGAGAGTAAGTTCTCTCAAAGCACCTTCAGTCCAATGTCTACAATCTCAGCAACTAGCACGAGGTATAGTACTGCATGATGAATAAATTAATGACTGGCGTTTTTAATGGGACCTGGATTACTGAGGTCGCTGCTACCAGGAAATGACTCACTGGGCACTGCTGCCCAGGCCCTGTCATGTGACGAGGCACTTGCTGAACTGGAACATGGTTTTAATTGGAATTGTTTTTAGCACATGTGCTTTTAGGACTCACTGTTTCAGACTTCCTTTCTGACTTTAATTTCATGAACTGTAAAAAATGGAAGCCTTAAAATAGACCCAGAGGTTTCAATGGATAAGAGTTTCTGTTTGGGAAGATGAAAATGTCTTGGAAACAGGTAGTGGTGATGGTTGCACAACAGTGTCAATATAATTAATGTCAGTGAATTGGACACTTAATGGTTAAAATGGCACATTCTATGTTATAAATATTTTACCACAATCAAAAAAAATTTTGAAGGGGGGC